GCCCCCGAACAAATACAGTTTTATTCACTTTAATTTTCCCACAAATCAAAACGTAAGAAAGGTGGTAGTTAGAAAATACAGAAATACACACAAAAAACAAAGTAGCAGAATTATAATACACACGGTATACGAATAAAAACACTACAGGATACAAGCCAATACAATAAACCAATCCAGTGTTGTTTGTATACGTGTATATAAATGTAATAACACTAAAGACTGTTGTTGTTTTTGTCTGCTAGTCCATTACAGCTATTTTTGATATTTTTGCGTAACAAAACCAACAACACTCCCTCCTGGATTTCACAAAAAAGTATTTACCTTTTAATTGTAAGCTTTTTGAATATAGGATACCAAACCGAGAACTGACAGCTGACAACTTGCTCTTTCTTCATGCTGCAATATCCTGTAATGGAGAAGAGTCCGTCAGCCAATTGTGTCCGACCTTCCCGCCTTCTTCCGGACGTTGTGGACTGTGTGTTACAGGGTTTGTGGTAAATCCTTATATTTTCACCGTGGTTTTTTAAAAATTATATTTCTCTTCAGTTACTAACAAACAACGAGAAGTACGATGTTGTCGAGTCCGTCTAATGTGTTCTTAGGGAGGGTTTTTAGACGTACACAAGTGGGCGTGGCCAAGGCGAACTTCCGGATTTCAACATAGATCGTATGTTCTCATGAGTAGTTGCTCCTCAAGCAAATACAAATACAGTGCCAAACAACATATACTTTCCCGCACATATATTAGCAAAATGTGTATATGACTCGATGACTATACAATCTGTTTGCAAGAGTAGCTTCTTAGTCTGGAATTAAAATGGCACTCGGTGACGTTTGAGACAACCGGAAACGGTAACAAAGTGACACGTCTATATTTTTGACAATCTTCGCTGCCACTAACGAGGAATCTGTGGCGGTTCACGTGAGGTTGGTTTTTCTTAAACTTTGTTGGGTGTTTTTGATGTTTAAAGTCAGTAGTTTTTAAAACTCAAAGTTGTTTTATGGTCAGACGGATAGAAAACTAATGTCCGTGATATTAACCCGAGTCTGTGTTCACAACCCCAGGCTGCTTTACTAGCGGCAGCTAATGCTCACGGCCAGTTTGCGATTACACTGTATTTAACAGCTTTAATTCGTCTTCCAGTCATTTTTGGTCGTCAGAGTATCGACCATGAGCAACAGCGACAGGCCGGAAGTGGCAACGACTCCACAAATAGTGAAGGAGGAGGTACGTTTGTTCTTAATTACACGCACTTTTAGACACAAAGATGCTAACGGTGACCCCCACGTCACGTGACGTCACATTACTTTGGTAAAAAAAAAGGACCGAGGGACTCGCTGAAACACACAATACCCTAACGTTGCTTTCACCATTGGTGACGTGAAGCATTTGTATCAGTGATTAAAGTTCAACAGTTGACTCTGTTGACCTTTAGTCCAGGAGGAAACACCAGGACAGTGTGTTCGATCTTCGTACGTCCATTAAATGAAGTTTCTCAGATTAGTTCCACCTGCTGCATGTCCTGATCTGGAGAAAATACCCAGGCGTGATCTGGTGCCCCACACTTTGAGAAACCAGCCACAGCCTCGTGATCCTGTCTGTGTTGTCTTTGTTCCAGCCCATTGCAGCTGGTAAATGGTTGAAATTGGAGAATACAACATATGTGGACCCAGCTGGAAACAGCAGGTAGTGTTGAGTCATCATGTGCTTTCACAGCCAACACGTGGCTTTTTGGGTCTCTGTTTGAGGTCTTGTCTCCTTCCATCAGAGTCTGGGAGACGGTGAAGAGGACGACCCGCCAACCCAACGCACAAGTGGATGGTAACTGCGTGTGTGTGGGTTGTCAGTTTGTTGTTGTTGGAAAAGCAACGCAGCTTATTTTCTTCTACAGGTGTCGGAATAATTGCATTCCTGAAGCGGACGCTTCACAGAGACTGTGTGGTCCTGGTAAAGCAGTTCCGTCCTCCACTGGGAGGCTACACTCTGGAATTTCCCGCAGGTCAGATATTTTCCATTAAGCTTTCACATGTAAATGACCCACGGCCTGGTACCAGGTGACCCACGGCCCGGTCCCATGGGACCCACGGCCTGGTACCAGGGGACCCACGGCCTGGTACCAGGTGACCCACGGCCTGGTACCAGGTGACCCACGGCCCGGTCCCATGGGACCCACGGCCTGGTACCAGGGGACCCACGGCCTGGTACCAGGTGACCCACGTCCTGCGGCCATGATTCGTCCATTCCGGACTGACTCATCGTCCTTGACTTCCTGTCGTCCCCAGGCTTGATTGACGAGGGAGAAACAGCAGAAGCCGCTGCTCTGAGGGAGCTGAAGGAGGAGACGGGCTACAGAGGTGAAGTCGTGGGAGTCACTCCAGGTACGACACACAGTCTGTTGTCTGTTCGGAGACTCCAGGTACCAGCTCCCCTCAACACCTGTGTTCAAAGTTACCAGGCTGCAACTTTTGTCAGATTTTTCTTGTGTCACGAGGAAACATCCAGATACCAGTGATCAACACAGCTCCATTCTTCCACTGGACACTGTGTGGCGCTGTCTCCCTCTCTGGTTATTTTACGCATGTCAACACAGCTCCATTCTTCCACTGGACACTGTGTGGTTTTATATGATCAATATATTTGTTTATATCCATGTTTTTGATCTTTAGGTTTAATGTAATTAAATGAATAGTTAATTTCTCTGTTGATGACCAGATCAGACTGGTCTCTTGACGCACCACTGTATTTATTGTCTAAAATAGTGTGTACAGTAGTGTGAACAAACATGAGTTCATGTGTTGTTGTTGTTGTTGTTGTTGTTGTGGACCCTGTGCTGTGTCAGTGTGTGAGTGTCAGTAGTGATGACTCTGCTGTGGTGTTGTTGTACTGGTCCTGTAGTGACCTGCCTTGACCCTGGCCTGTCTAACTGCACCACTCAGATCATCCTGGTCAACATCAACGGTGATGAGGTGGAGAATATAAACCCCACCCAGCAGTTGGGTGAGTGGTCACTGAGTCAAACCTAACACTGCTGCCACCACCAGTACATGTCTGGAATGACATCTGTGTTCTGTGATTCCACAGGTGACGGAGGTGAGTGGTTTTCCTCTTCTTCTTCTTCTTCTTCTAATTGGTCAGGGTGATTCAGTCTCACCTGGCCTTCATCTCTGCCGTCAGAATTTGTGGAGGTTGTTCATCTGCCTTTGGATGAATTTCAGACCAAACTTGACGGTGAGAGCCCAGTGATGCGGCCTAGTCTGTGGTCATCACGCCGCCGTGCGCTCACACTCTGTGGTTTCATCCTGCAGATCTGCTGAAGAAAGAGAAACTCGTGGTGGACAGCAAGGTCTACATCTTCGCCATGGGGATGGCCCAGGCCTTCTTCAAGCCCAGGGAGCTTCCTGTCCTGAAGCAGTGAACCCCAAACCTTTAGTCACAGGGAAATGTCAGAGGACATGTGTGTCCTAGTGACACCGTGTGGGCCAGAAGCCCACGTGGGCCAGAAAACCCTTCATCTTTAAGTTAAAGTAATGAGAATGAACTGGTGCCTCAACCAACCAGCTACTGAGATACATCTCATCTCTACAACTAGTATCCTATCACAATGAGATACCTTATCATTATGAGATACCATCTCATTACTTTGACTCAGAGACGTAGGATTTTTTTCATCACTCTCTAGAACGTTCTAGTGTGAAGAATAAGCTGTGAATCTTTCCAGTCTGTATGAATAATGACCACCGTACTGTGGGGCAACAGTGCAAACCAACCAACCAATCAGAGAACACCAGTCAGTGTAAATAAACACATCCCACCGTGAAGTACCGTTGTCGTGAAGAACCTAAAGGTACTGCACGATTGGTCCCAGCTTTGGTGTCCTGTGATTCATCGGCCAATAACAGTCCTCGGTTCTCACGGGATTTTATTTGTTTTTATATCTACAGACCTGTTTAACATTCCTGACACATGCTACCTAAACATTTCTGCCTGTTGTTTTGGAGGAGGATCATTAACAGTTACTTATCTGAAAACAGAAAATTTAGTTTGAATGTCCGTTTATTTTAGATTAAAACATTTGTAAACGAATCAAAAATTGTTCAATAAAAAAAAAAGAAGAACCAGAAATCAACGTTTCAACATGTGCTCTTAATGCCCTGAACTGTGTCCTTGCTACTATTAACTGAATCAACTAAAGGAGACTGGGGGGGGTCACAGACGTCGTCGTCGTCTTCAAATACGAACACGTGAAACAGTTTAATTGACATCCAAAATACACATTATTCTTCAGTTGTGTGGAGCGCTGTCTTCAGACCCGCACCTCCTCCCTGTGACCCGGGTCACTGTCCTCACTGCGACAGTCTGTGAGGGGAGTCGTCTCTCCTTCTGAACTCTGTCATGAAAAAGCAGAGAGAGAAGATGTTCCTGTACCTGTTCCTGTGTCCGTGCTGTAGAACTGGTCAGTGAAAACACAACTGTCACCTTTTCTTGACCTCGACCCGTGCGTCTTCTCTGACCACTTGTAACCTTCACCCACGTAGTTTCCTGTGGCAAGAATGAGGAGGAATCAGGAAAACGACGCCACTGTTAAAAAGTCTCTTTTTTGGTCTAAGACTTAAACAAGAACAAACTTGTATTCCTGGCACTGCTGCGATTGGTCGCCTTCCTCCACTCCAACGCTTCCATCTTGGATCTCTTCATCAGGATGGTGTCTGAATGTTTGGAGTTTGGCCTCCGCTTCCGTCTCCTGTGGTGGGTGTGGTCTTGGTCATGTGGACGCTCCTGGTTTGGAGACACCTTGTCGCGTCTGGTCCTGTCCTCGTCGTGAGAAGACGTTGCTGGTGTCGTGTTTGTCTTTGGTCCTTTATTCCTGGACCCGGCCGTGTCCTTTGTGGCGGTCCAATGTCTTTTGTCTCTTCTGGTAGGGTAGTAACTATTTTCCCAGTCTCGTTTCAGTGGCTCCCGGACTGACGCTTTTCTGGGTGCGTTGTGCGTTTTGTCTTCTGTCTTTGTGTGACGTGACGATGCGGGGTAAAAATGAGAAATCCTCCGTTTCGATGAGAACAAATGGCTTTCTGGGGTTTTAGAAGAACTAGGTTCAGTGATGGTTTCTCTAGGTGGTGACGGACCTCGGGGCGGAGACCTGCTGCCACTGAACTGGTCGCTCACACGTGCCGGTGAAATCTCTCTTGAAAAGCGTTTGGGGTCAGACTCCGTTGTTGTAATCCCGTTCTCTCCTCTGATCACCGTGGACGGCTGTAAAGAGTCCTGACCCCGAGGGGGAATCAAAGTAGGACCAACTAAACTGGACTCCTCCGCGTCTGTGCACTCTCCGTACAACTGTACGGGTGTTTTAGGCTTTTGACTTGAAGACACCGACTGGGGCACTGGTTTCCTTTGAACTGCTGGATCAGAGTCTTTGAAGTGTTTCTGCCCGTTGGTGTTCACGTGGACGTGCCTGGTGGCGTCATCAGGTTTGCTCAGCAGTCTTCTGTTTTCTGTTCCTGGGGACCGTGGAGAAGTGACCTTTGTTTTAGCCAATGAATCGTGAGGCTCGGGAGACGACAGCGACGTTTCTAAGGAGTGTGCCGTTTGTGTGTGATCGTTTCCCTCTGATCTTGGAGAGACTGGCTCACTCTCGTCCATGCTGTCCACGGTGACCGTGTCCGAATCACTTATGATGATACTTTCTTCTAAGACGTCACGGCTGCTAGTTACTTCTTGACTGAGTGTATCAGAAAGTGCGGGCAGCGGCCGTAGTGAAGACCTGGATCTCGGCCACTCGGCCCCTCCGCTGTAGCTGTGCTCGCTGTCGCCCTCTGTGTCAGAACAAATGATTACTATATTTTGCGGTTTTGACGTCTTCTCTTTTTTGTTCTTGGATTGGTCATGCTTCGTGCTGGCTTTTTCTTCTATTAGCTCTCTGAGTCTGAGGGTCCAGCTGGGTTTGCCTGACCCCCCCCTCCCTCCACCTTGGACAAGTCCAGCTTCGTTTTCAGGTGGAGGTGGATCCGTCTTCTTTTTGCACAGATGTTGGGACACCGTCAAGTTGTTGTATCTCAAATCTGACCCATAGTCACAGCTGTCCTCCGTGTCACTGCTGCAGGACTCTCTCTCTCTCCTTGGACTCATCCACTCCGACAGATCTTGAACTCTGTCAACGGCAGCTTTTGATTCTAAGAAGTCGACAACCGTGTCAAACAGCTGGATCGACTCCGATGCAGCCGCCACACCCAGACGTGTGGTGCTGCTGGCACCGCCGCCGTCCTCGGCTTCACAGTCACCGTCTGCCACGGTGTTCGCCGGGACATTCTGGTCTCCGTCACTTGGTTCAAACTGAAGGTCTAACACGCTCAGAAGTACGACAAAGGAGTCGTCATCAGACTCCTCGTTATCAGAAACTCTACTGACGGAGTCTCTGCCATCGTCACATCCCGGAGATAGTGCCTGACCATAACTTTCACACAGCGCCATCATCTGGGGATTGTCATCATCACTTAGACATTCGTAGTCTGGCTCCTGAGGACATTGTGGACTGCGTGAATCCTCAGATATGTCCTCATATTTTGGGTCTTTCAGAGGGGCCAGAGCAGGAGCTTTATCCATGGGGCGTTCATTACACCAGACTCCCAAAAGATCAGGGTGGTCTACAGACATTGATATCACATTACAGATTTGAATGTGATCGAGCGATGAATTCTCTGTTGGACTCGGTGAGTATTTTGCCGATGCAGGTGCATCGATGTCCCTTGGACTGTAGAAAGGTTCGACTCCCGGCACAGGTGTGCTCTGTTCTAAGCCACGTTTGGCTGTGGCAGCTCGACTCCTCTGATAGTCTTCCAGCTCCTCTGTAATCAGTCGCTGAATGTCTTCATCAGTTGGTGGAGGTCTTTGTTGATGTTCTGAGTTAGGGTCACCGTCTTTCTGACGGACTCTCCGATGACCGTGACACCAGTGTATAACGGTCCTGGGATCGCTGCCGTCATTGGAGCACAGTTCTGATCCGAGCCGCCCATATAAGGACGGATGGGATGCCATCGTTTTCAAAGCTCTTCTATTCTGTTAGTAGAATTTCGAACTTCAACTAAGATTGACAAGGATCGTGTAAAGGAAATGGATTAGCGCCACCTGCCTCAGTGATAACCCCCGGTGCCACAGAGGAGCTGAAACAGAAGTGACCCGGGCTTTGCCGCGGGGCTCCGCCCTCTTTTTTTCAGGACCCTAGACTCTGTCAGGGGCTTTTCTTGGTGTTTCCCGTCACAGCTGATACAAAGAGTCAAAGAGACTCCTTGGTGAAAACTGTCCGGAGGTGAGTGCGGGTGCTGGAGGCCAGAGTCCGTTACATGCTGATGGAACCTTTGAGGATATTGCATGTGTGCGTCGTTCTGCGGCCAATACATAAAACCAGACTCTTCCAGTTCTTTTTGGGATCTTGATGAGCTACTACGTTGACTTTAGGTCCAGATGCGAGGTTTGTCAACTTCAATGGTACAACGACTTTCTGCTGATGAGCACCATCCCTGCTTCCACCTTGGACTTCAGGGTAGACTCCCCCTGGCTGCTGGGATGTCCAGACTGCATTGCACGGAGAAAAAACCTTTAGGTGACTTTAGTTTGACTTTTCTAGAAAACAAAGAAAAAATAGCATGTTATGATCTGGCTTTTCTCCCACAAGTGAAACTCAAGTGAGGATCATTTTCTCATCTACTCACAAACACACCAGCTGCTATGACAAAAGCTAAAGCAGAGACAGCATTTTTGGATCTCCTGTGGCCAACGCTCCAGGAGATTAATACAACAAAACAAAACGAGTCCCTGGACGAGCCCTGGTTCTGGTTCTGGTGCTGGTGTATGAGCTCAGACCATTTCACAGGTCATCTCAGCTATAGGTGTAAGTAAACCTCCATCCACTGAAGTATCACAACATCTCCTATCTGTCCATTTATTATTTGAAGACACCGTGTAAAACAATATTAGCCAACGTATACTTCAAACAAGTATTTCCCCATGGAGCCAGCAACAGAAGTCGATGTACCACATGTGATCTGCATACCAGAGTTTGAGAACCTCTAATCTAAAACGTCCCTTGTCCGCCATTAAAGCAGAGGAGCAGGAAGTCCTTCCGTCGTTCGGATAACCTCAGAGTTCCTCAGTCTTTGGAGGATGTTCCAGTCTTTAACAGAACATCGAACCACTGCGAAAACGCAAACTGTGAGTCTGGGACGTCGTCTTCAAAGGACCTCGGGTCCACGAACCCCTGAAGTTGCGGTGTCAAAGCTAGTATCCAAAAGCGTTGAGCCGTAAAGTTCTGACGATTAAAGAGGATCCACATCCACTGCTCAAGTTTCAAATGTCTTTTTCTCTGCTTTTAAACTCGTCTTTAACATTTCACAACATTTCACAACCAAACCTACCGCCCAGGTTGGACCTCAGAGCTAACCCCCGAACCTCAGAGCTAACCCCCGAACCTCAGCGCTAACCCCCGAACCTCAGAGCTAACCCCGACAACAAAGCCCTTAAAAAGTCAAACATTTATCCAAATTATTTAAAAACATGTGAATTACGGTGTTGACGTTCACCCTCCTTTTAACACGAGTTACAACGGAAACACTCTCGCCATTTTTTAAAAACGTACAAACTTGTCTAACTTTAACTTTTACCTATTTATTCAACATAAAGTTTTTGACGCTCCAAAGGTTCCGTTTCCACATGAACGTCCGCGACTGTTGAGTCGTAGAAAAAGCCAAACCTTTATCCAGACGATTTAAAAAAAAAACAATCCACAAAAACGTCAGTTACTTAGCTTTCACTTTGTCAGACAGGGAGGAGCTCTCGGTGCGTTCCGTCAAACAAACTTCTGCTCAGAGCGACGTTTGTACCGTCACCCCGCACCACTCACTTCCGGTTGGTTATATATAAATATATATATTATGGCATGCCGTTCAGGAAATCAATCCTTGAATATATATAAAAAGTCTGAATATATATACAGAAAATTGAAACCTTGAAAAAATTGAAATCGAAAAGAATAAGAACAGATTCATCAGATGGTTAACGATCTAAGATCATTGTTGTGCGGGATTCAGAGTGACGTAATGACAATATAAGGGTGATTGAAAAAATGTTATAATTCGTTATAAATACTTTGGAAATATATTATTTCTATATGTTACTATTTGGTAACGCTGTCCAATGGCTGACGACCATTACTTACGTCTCCCAGAAAAGAAAAGAGCAACAGTAACGCAAAGAGTGATTTATGTTCATCTTTATTTAAAGATTGATAGCTGCCATGTGACGTAGTGAACTGTGTTGTCTTTAAAATATTGATTTGTTCACAGGTTCCTTGTCGACCCGTGGACAACGTGTTGTTCTGTACCGGCTTGTTCGTTCTTTCTTCCGCGTTGCGAGTGAAGCGAGGTCCGTAAAGAAAGTATAAGAAGTAACGAAGAGTGAACAGAGACAGACGTTCGTACAGAAGCCGCTTGTGTCGCTTTGATGTGGGCACGAGATACAGGAGCCCGGCCGGTGGTGCAGACGGAGCTCCACTGTTCACTGTGGTGATGGGTTCACAGCAGAGGTCACATTTGGTTGTGTGCAGTGGTGCAGTGGTGCAGTGGTGCAGTGTCACAAGGACAAGTAGTTCACTTTGTTTTCCTTTCCTGACACCGGCATTTCCTCCAAGGACATGAGCATCGTGAATTCGTTCGTCAACGACGTCTTTGAACGCATCACCTCCGTTTGTTGGCTCATTACAACAAACGATCCACCGACACGTCCAGGGAGCTCCAGACCGCTGTCCGTCTGCTGTGTCTGGACCAGGGCCGTCACCAAGTACACCAGCTCCAAGTAAACCGTGTCCAACTCCACTCTGACACCAACCCACGGACCACAGAAGGAAAGAACAGATTCCTGGGAAAATGAATGAAACAGTGTCAAGCTGTCAATCAAACTCCATGAATGACAGCTGAGAATGAAGTACTACTGCAATGATATGTAATACTCTGGTGAAATAGACAGAGTACTGACGTCAGAGCTGTCACAGTACAGTCACTCAGACGAGTCATCTGAAAAACTTTACTTCTTGGTTGTTTTTTATCTGCTGCCCCCTACAGACTGAAAACCAGAACTGAAAAAAAAGAGAGAGGACGTTACCGACTGCGACCACTAGATGGTGCATTGGAGAGTACTGGTAGATTTTGTTCTGAAGTAATCTAAGAAATGAACAAACGTCTCTGGATGGATGGACGGATGGATGGATGTTGGATGGATGGATGGATGTTGGATGGATGGATGGATAGATGTTGGATGGATGGACAGATGAATGGATGTTGGATGGATGATGGATGTTAGATGGATGGGTGTTGGATGGATGTTGGATGGATGATGGATGTTAGATGGATGGGTGTTCGATGGATGGATGTTGGACGGATGAATGTTGGATGGATGGATTATGGATGTTGGATGGATGGATGTTGGATGGATGGATGGATGACTTGTCTCTCGAACCATATTTAAATAAATACCAGAGGTAGATGTGCTCATACTGTATCCATGGTCGTATTTTATTATTCTCACATTGGTTTTGTCTTCAGTCGTCGTTTATGTGACGTCATCATCGTAGGTCGGACGGACATTTCAAAATAAAAGCCCTGTGGCAGTTGAAGGATGGACGATCGATCGCTGCTGCACGTGTGTATTTTTGTCATGTTTTCCTGGAACTGTTTTGTTTTGTTTTTTATGTTAAAAAAAAACTCGAAACATTTTTGTTTTATTTTGCCCCAGATATAGGACCACGGGGAAAATATATATTTGAAATAATTGTCGGTTGTTTTTGTTTGTTTTTGTTTTTTTAAAATTACAGCGTTTTGTTGACAGGTCTCTAAGGCAGTGAAGACTGAACGATATAATAAAAGTGAAGCTGTGACGTCATCGCTCGAACCCGCCCCACCGCTTGTCTCCGTTAAGATACACCGTCTATTTTAATTTGTAAAATATCTGCCGGAAGTACGTGATTCCTTGGGATGACTTAACGTCGCTCCAAACCAGAAACATCGGTACAAGGTTGTTCAACACCGCTGGAGTCTGATTCCGCTGCTGGACAGGTTTATTCCGTGGTCGCGGAACTACACAGCAGACCGAAGGTGAGGTCACGGAACTTTACGGCCTTTCACTCCCCCAGTGTCGCAGTTGGTCGCTGTGTTTGTGCCGTAGTCACTGGAACTTGTCCGTCTCACCGACGGGCCCAGAAAGGAAAGTGAAACTTTTGTAGCACCGTTTGTTCTGTGCGTGTTTTATGTCTATAACGATAATAACGCTCGTCGTGACTGTGAAATACGTCAACAACACTTTTATTCTGCTGTCTCGTCACAGACACGGTCACATACAGTATATAACACCGCTGTGGTGTCCCCTGGCGACCACACTGTGTACAACACTCTCGGTGTTCGGTGTTATGGTTCGCAGTGGATTATCGACTGCAGCCGTGGAAGTACAAGTGTAGTACACTCCACTCAACGACCGCAGATAAAACACTCTTGGTCACCGTGGGTTCGACGGCGCTCGTGTCGCCAAGTTAACCAATCACCTTTCACTGTAGGCGGGCTCTCGTCTGTTTTCTTCCGGATAAATGACTCAGTGCCTGGCTTCAGTGTGACGACGAATCATTTCTTAGTCGCTGTAAAACGCACGTTTCTATTCACATTCACATTTACGTCAAAAAATCCCATAATCGAATAAAAACACGTCCTGTGTCAGAAAAACAGTGAGAATGAAAATATACTCTCTAGTGTATACTTCAGTGTTCTGTCACGGTATACTCTAGTGTACACTTCAGTGTACTTTCACGGTATACTCTAGTGTACACTTCAGTGTACTTTCACGGTATACTCTAGTGTATACTTCAGTGTACTTTCACGGTATACTCTAGTGTACACTTCAGTGTACTTTCACGGTATACTCTAGTGTACACTTCAGTGTCCTGTCACGGTATACTCTAGTGTATCCTTCAGTGTACTGTCACGGCTAGTGTATACTTCAGTGTACTGTCACGGTATACTCTAGTGTATACTTCAGTGTACTGTCACGGTATACTCTAGTGTATACTTCAGTGTACTGTCACGGTATACTCTAATGTATACTTCAGTGTACTGTCACGGTATACTCTAGTATATACTTCAGTGTACTGTCACGGTATACTCTAGAGTATACTTCAGTGTACTGTCACAGTATACTGAACCATTCTACACATGTATGAGTTTATTATCTACCCAATAGACTCCAGTCAGTAGCGCCACCTTCAGGTTGGATCTGAGGTCACTTGTTAAACAGTTTCTTAAAGCGACAGTACAGCATGAAGCAATGATCATCAATTCAATTCTTCCAAGACAGAGCTAACGCTACACAGTCACACCTGACCCTGTGGGCTGGTCTGTGGTGCAGTGGGTCTGTCAGTCAGCCCTCTGTCTCTGCAGAGCAGAGTCTGACTCTCCCACCTTTTCAGAGGTCAGGGTCAGGGTCAGGGTCAGGCTGACACTCTTTTGAAGAGTGATGGGGTGAAACAGGAAGTGACTTGGTTCTTATTTTTGCTCCTAGTTTCTCCTGCGGAGACCATGGCGTCAGGAGGCCCCGTCATGAACGGCCGATCTCCCTCTCAGTCCTGTACGCTGGAGGAAACGCTGCAGCAGATGAACGTTCTCATCCAGGAGAACCGTGAGCTGAAAGGTGAAGGTTTGACCGCAGCTTTTAGAGCGTCCTGCTGGTGGGTCAAAGGTCAACCTCAAAGATGACCGATTGACTGTTGACGTCTCTCTCCGTCTCTCGTCTGTCCTAGAGGCCTTACGTCAGACCAACCTGACAATGAAGGAGAGATTTGAGGGTCTTTCTGCGTGGCGCGAAAAGCAGCGAGAAGAGCGGAACTTCCTGGAGAGCCGTCTGGAGGAGGCGCGGGGCCACATGGAGACCCTGAACCACCAAAACCAGGACCTGAGGAGGAAGCTGGAGGAGGCGACAAGAAGAGCGAGAGACGCAGTGAGTTGACAGTTGGCTGTGACACGCCCTCAGCACTGTGACCTCTGTGACCTCTGACCTGACACCTGCTCTCCAGGTTCAGACCGCAGAGCTCGAAGGACTGCGTGGCCAGATTGTTCGTTTGCAGGCGGAGAAGAACGACCTGGTGGCCATGAACAGCGAGCTGAGGCTGAAGGCCGACGAGTCGCTCGACTCCTTCATCGAGGTCATCAGAGTTCAGGTAAAACTCAGACCCAAACAGTGCAGAGCGTGTGGCTCTTCTTCGGTGGTGTCGTCACCATAGAACACTGATCTGTGATCGTCTACATCGGTCTCTTCAGGACGAATGTGCCAACGGCGTCAGTGAGGCCCACGGCTCGCTGGGCGACAGCAGCCCGGAGCAGAGCTCAACGCTGTCCCCGCTGGACAACAAGGATATGACCGTGAGCCAGCTGCTCCTGTCCCTGAGGAAGGAACGTCAGCGTGGCGATCAGCTGCAGGAGGAGCTTCAGCGCTCCGCCGTCAGGTAACGCCGGGACGTCAGAGTCGGAGAGCGTTAGGAGAAAAACTGAACGAACGTTTTGATATTTTTCCAAACAGAATAATAGATCTGGAGCAGAAACGGAGAACGAACGACAGCTCAACACAGACGGAAACCAAAGACGACGCTGGGAAGGACAAGGTCCACTTCATCTTCATCTCTTCTCTCTACTGCCTCCTCCTGGTCATCAACTGTTCGTTTCTTTATGTTTCAGGCAGCGTCTGAGGTGGAGAACCTGAAGTCTCAGGTGATGAGTTTGTACAAAGAGCTGCAGCAGGCCCAGAGCAAACTGAACCAGGCGGAAGGCATGAAGAAGAACCTGCAGGACAGGTACAGGTTCACCAGGTTCCCGAGGACCAGGTGAACGCTGCGGACGGAAAGCATTCAACGTTGTCTCCCTGCAGATACCGAGAGGTGGAGCAGGATGTGGTCACTCTGAGAGCTCAGCTGGTGGAGAACCAGACCATCAGGTCGGAGAACGACCGACTGAAGCTGCAGCTGGACAGCATGCAGGTCCAGAACCAGCTGGAGCAGAAGAAAGCAGGAGAGGAGAGGTCAGGGGTCGATCCCAAAACCAGCTAGAGTACAGATTTCAACACTGTGACTGTGTGAGGAACCAGAACCTTTAACCAGAACCTGTGTCCAGGAACAACCTGTGTCAGCTGAAGGACGCCTACACCAAACTGTTTGAAGACTACACCGAGCTGAAGGAGGAGGAGGGCAAGAAGAAGAAGGAGGAGGTGGGCGAACGGGCAGCCGCCCGGGGTATCGTGTGGCCAATCGCAGCGTTGTCTGGCTGACCTTTGCCCTCTGTGTTCTGCAGTGCTCTCTGGTGGACGACCTCCAGGCTCGTCTGACGGCGGCCGAAGAAGCGCTGGCGTCCAAACAGGCCAAGATGGACGACATGAAGCAGGAACTGTTCCAGAAGGAGAAGGAGCTGGAGACCGTATCTGTGTTCCAGGCCCAGGTTTTCTGCACTCTGACTCCCACCTCGGGCTCAGGCTCAGACTTCTGGGTCGCAGCCCACAGCTCTGGTTGTCTCCTGTGTTTTTTCAGGCCGAGGTCTACTCCTCAGACTTCTACGCCGAACGGGCGGCGAGAGAGAAGCTCCACGAAGAAAAGGAACGCCTGGCCGCTCAGCTGGAGTACGTGAAGAAGCAGAACAGTCAGCTGCAGGAGGAGGTGGACTCACTGGGCCGGTACGGGACTAACGAGAACCACAGGGTCAGTGCGGCCCGCTGGAAGGTTTGGTCAGTACTTCACACTCACGTACCTGTTTACTTGACTTCTCCAGTCACTCACTGAATGAGATGCAGCGGAGACACGTTTCTCTGGGAGGAAATCAACATGGACCTGCTGCCACCCTGGCAGGAAGAGGTACTGCAGTAGAACCGTAGAAAAGAATTCTACTACTACTACTACTACTACTACTAGTACTAGATAAACCAAATACTCACCACTGTATATACTGACTACTGCGGTTCAGACGAAGCTGCTGAAGTCAAATGATTTAAGTGACAGCTGGACCTTTCTACATGGTGTCACCTGGTACATGGGTGGGTCAGTCAGACACTGGTCACTCTGCTCAGTCAGTCCTCCTTGTTGTCTGTAGCATTAGTTTCATAACCTTGTTAGAAAACTCCCATGATGCACCAAACAAACTAAGTGACCAAGCATCTCCGTAATGATATAAAATGACTAACTCTTCACTAACTTTTCACTAACTCTTGACTAACTTTTCACTAACTCTTTACTAACTCTTCACTAACTCTTCACTAACTTTTCACTAACTCTTGACTTAACTTTTCTCTTCACTAACTTTTCACTAACTCTTGACTAACTTTTCACTAACTCTTTACTAACTCTTCACTAGCTCTTTACTAACTCTTGACTAACTCTTCACTAAGTCTTTACTAACTCTTGACTAACTTTTCACTAACTTTTTACTAACTCTTCACTAGCTCTTTACTAACTTTTCACTAACTCTTGTAACTTTTCACTAACTCTTTTTACTAACTCTTCACTAGCTCTTTACTAACTTTTCACTAACTCTTGACTAACTTTTCACTAACTCTTTACTAACTTTTCATTAACTCTTTACTAGCTCTTTACTAACTCTTCTACTGATAAAAGGTACATGCCACCTAGTGGTACTAGTTAAAAGGTTACCACCAGTTCATGTCCTGATGAGATGCTGGACTGACGTCAGTGACCAGGTGTTTGTTACCAGGTGACTGAGGAGGTTCTAAAGGGTTTCTGTGACCTGCAGGTTCTGACTGGCAGCACCAGGACTACATTCCTGAACATGCCTGTCCCAAATGCAACGAGATCCTCCCAGACCTGGACTCCCTGCAGATCCACATCATGGACTGCATCAACTAGTCCACGCTGACACCTGTCTGTGAGTGTCTGAACTCACACCTTCAGCACCTTCATCCAGATCTGCCTTGGTTCTGACCCGTACCTCTGTCTGTCTCTGTCCCAGGGACGACATCCTGCAGATGAAGACACAGACCCAGAGATAAGAAGAACAACACCTGGTACTCCTGGACCACAGTTAGGCCTGTGGACCAGGGGGAAGGAACCTGGTTCTGTGGCTTAAAATAGTTCTATACATGTTGGTGATGGTTCCGTACGGTTCCTCTCTCTCTCTCTCTCTCTCTCTCTCTAGCTCCTGTTAAAAACTGGTATTAATTACACTGATTTATTTGAACCCCTCCCCTCTCCCCCGGTCTGTAGTTGATGGTTCCGTCTTCCTGTCCTGATAAATGCCACAGACACAGTTGAAGGTCCAACCTTCTGGGGTTTGTCCAACTATCAACCTGGTGTAATAAACGAAGTGAAACAGCAGATGGCGCTGTTCACAGTGAATCACAGCTGATCATATTTTGATAAACAGAAGGTGCATGAACCAAAGATTCCTGTTCACGATCCAAAGTCCAGGTTCCTGACGTTCTTTACCAGAACGGTTCTCCATGACGTTCTCTGTTGTTCTGATGTTCTGTTTTAACATCGAGGGCCAGTCAACCTGTACGAACTGCTAATAAGAAATCAAAGTTGGAATTACGTTTTTTATTTTGGCTGTAAACACATGCTTGACTACTACTACTACTACTACTACTACTACTACATACTAATAATGCAGCACTGCCTTTGATCTGTTGCAAGTATTTTGATCTAAAATAAAATAAAGTTGCAGATCCCGGTGTGATTCCAGTTCAACTTAGTGGATGTCCATTATTCCAAATGCCACATATTTCTCATCTCATCGGTCACACCTTTACGGCGCCCCTAAAGGGACATGAGGGAAACGTCAGTAAATTAATAAGAGTTTCGGTGTAAATATCACTGTCTGTTTACGACAAATAAATCAGTCCTAAATTTAAGCAAATGATCTGGTTGTTCCAATAAACACAAACACATTGAACAGTTAATTTACCCCATTGTTTCCCAAAGACTGGGCCGCGACCCTCGGGTGGTTTATAAATAATGTCTATTGACTTGGGTCGTGAAGGTTGGTGACTTAAAATATGGATCACCAGAAAAAAAAGTTTGGGAAACGCTGATTGGCTCCATTAGTGGTTTATTGTAGCTCAAGGTTGGCTGGAAAAACTGATAGGGTACAAATGTCAACCCTTAAAATTCATTTCGTTCAGTGTGAGGACCTTCACTCACTCAGGTGATTCAAATGAACCGGATCACTTCAGCCACGGTCGGTCAGAGTGATCCAAGTCATTGAGACGATCCCTGCACCAATCTTGGAGGCCTGCTCATGGTCTGATACCAAAGGTTAATTTTTAGTGAATATAACTTCCTTTAAATTGAGTGGAAAATAGAAAAAATACCAGATAAAACAGCTACTCCTACCAACGTGTATGAAATGTAAAATAGTCAAAAAAGTTAAGTTAAAACAAGTGTTTTTATAGTAAGGCATATCGTAGGACAGCTACATGGTTTGACGACATCTAAGTGGGTCCTTCGTTTAGCGCCAGTTTAGATCGTTCGTCTCTGTGTTTGAGGAACAGGATGGTTGTTGTTTGAGTTGGTTTTAACTCTTTATCACTGACTTCTACACTTCATGTTATTAAACCATCACTGTGTGACTACGGTGTAACTGTAACGGAGCCTGTAACGCTGACACTATAACAACAGGACCTAAACGCCGAGGTAAGTTTACTACTGTGGTTTGTCTCATGAAAAAGTGAATTTTTTTTCTGCTTCATCTTTAAACATGTATTAGTTATCGGTGACTTTTCTACTTTTTTACTAAGTGCTCGTGTCGTGTTTTGATTCGTTTGGTCTAAAGCGGTGGTTGAACGTTTAAATCCACGAAGCTCTTGAAATGATCCGCCATTACGACCAGCTTTAAACACAGATGATTTTTTTCACCTTACAGAAGAGACGGTGATGAAAAGTATTTATTTCTTTGACCCACATGAGCCCATTTGTCCGCCGAAGCCACACTATAATATAAGTGTCCTGTTTAATTTATACAGTGACGTAACCTAAAGGCAACTCTGTGTTAAAACAAATAGGGTTTTTTTCCCCCCACAGTATTTGAAAGAACACAGACACAAGAAGGTCTGATTTAATGTAATGGAATATAATGTCACTTCTATGATGTTTATCAGGTTCTCATTACGTTCTGCAGATGCAGGAAAGACGAACTGTACCATAAAAAGAACCAGTACAGAAGAAATGAATGAAATCATCAGCTCATCAATACTTTTTAGATCAAATTCAGATATTGACTTTTTTAAGAACTTTTGTATCATTGAGCAACAAAGGTCAAAGGTGACACTTTTGTGTCAGAACCAAAGAACCTGCCGTGCACTGTGACCTTTATGTTTGTTTAATGATCTGCACTGAGACAACATGAACCAGTGGAACTAAACAGTTCCATCAATCAGAACTGTTCAATCTGTGGTTCTCACCAGATCGGCCCGTCGACCGTCAGGATTCCTGCAATGGACAGTGAGTACTGCAGTAGTACTAGCACATACTCCGCTGTATTCAGAGGTGTTGTCAAACAGTTCTGGTTCTTCAGGTGAGGACGACCTGGACATTTTGACGGCTCTGCTGTCTGAGAGCGAGGCCGTGTCTGTAGAAGAACGAGGAGCTGATGAAGGGCCGGACGACTTTGACCGTC